TTTCCTTCAAAGCAGCTTGAACTTCTTCCTTCATCACGATATATGAACTTTAAGTATAGTTAATTAGAAAAGTAGAAAATTTTTCAGCACAAAAATATAGAAAGGCAAGCTAAAAATGTATGAAGGTCAATAAGAATGAAAGCATTAAGTGAAAGAAGAATAAAACCATAAATGGTTTAGAAAAGACACATTGCCAAAAACAAAATAGGTTGAGAGGATAAAAGGCTAAGAAGATATTAGTTAGATTTATTAGACAAAGGATTATTAAAATTGGAAGTCAACACATGCAGGAAAGAATGACTCTAGGAAACAATCTGGATAGTAGGCATGTACTCTGAAGGGCTAAACCACAGGAGTAAGGAGGAAACCAGATAGCTAAAGACCTAAAGGAATTCAAGGGATTCAGAAACCTAGGATCCTCTAGTCTTCTACAAGGAAGCTAAAATTAAAAGTATCTAAAAGAAAATAAAATTCCAGTAAATCTCTTATAATGTATATAATTTTAAAATATAATGTATGCAATAATCTAAAAACATCTAGCTAAACAATTAAAAATAAAATAATGATGTATCAGAAAGAGAAACCTAAATAATACAGCTAGATCCAGAGGTCCTGCAGCTCAGAGGGAAAACATATTTTGGAATATTATTTATTTGACCTACATAAAATGAAATATTAAATTATTGGCAGAGATCTGGACTCTTTAGAGAAAATTAAGGATGAAAGAAAACATTTAAAAAATGAATTGAGGCTGCTTTAGCCACATACACAATACAGACTAAGGGAAAATTAAGAAAATAGAATAATAAATATAAAATAAATGTCTAGATTATTAGATAGATGCAAAAGGATGATAATTTTAAAATATGTTTAATTTACCAGAGGAGTGAAAGAAATCTGTATGAAAAATTGTAAGGCAAACAAGAATAGACATTTGGAATAAATAAAATGAGAAAGTATTTCTTTTCTAAAAATGGATATTTTGTGAAATGTTCCAGAGAAGTCAAATAATCAATTGGCAATTAAAAATTAAAAAGTAAATTTGGAAGTTGTAATCAATGTGCCTACTGGCAAGAAGCTGTGTTGCAATCCTGAAAACATACATTTCCAGGGCACCAGCCACTCTGCTGGAGAAAGATGGGCCATTTCCCCCAGTGCCTCTGAAAACTCACCAGAAGGTCAGCTATGGTTCAGTTGCAACTCTATGGTATACAAAAATGACAATCAATCTATGGAACATCGATCTGTTCTATTAACTTTCACTCAAATAACAATAAAATATTTCACTAAAAAAATAGTTAAAGGACAAAAAACCCCAGCCCTTTACTGTTATGTGCAAGTCTTGTGACTCATAGTGACCATATGTACAACAGCTCTGAACTCTATTCTGGACCAATCTCACTGTCTCTGACACACCCACACCCGTTAACCCAATTATTGTGTCAGTTCATCTCATCTGGGGTCTTCTTCTGTTGCACTGTCCCTCCACCTTTCCAAGTATGTGTTTCTCCAAAGACTGGTCTCTCCTGGACACATGCCCAAAGGATGTGAGACGGAGCTTCAAATCCTTGCCTCTAATGAGCAGCTTGGTTTCACCATCTCTACAACAGATCTGCTAGTTCTCTTGGTAGTCCATGGTATGTTCAATACTCTTCTCTCACACCACAACAAAGGGCATCAATACTTCTTTTATCATGCTTATTCATTATCCAGCTCTATGAAGCATAGCAAGTAATTGTGAAGAAAATGGCTTGGATCAGGCACACCTTAGTCTCTAGACTGACATCATTGCTCCTCAGTACTCTGAGAGGTCTTTGACAACAAAGTTTCCCAGTGCAATTCATCTTTTTATTCCCTGGCTACTAGTACCAGAATGTTGACTATGGAATCAAGCAAGCTGAAGCTCTTAACAATTTTAATCTCTTTTCCATCTATCATGATGCTGCCAATTGTGAAAAAATTACAGAAACAAACTGAAGGGAGAGATATATTATTTATAAAATAGCAACAATAAAATTAACAATTGACATCTCAAACAAAAAGCAGAAGCCAAAGCACAATACAAATATTTTCAAAGGTTAGAAATTAAGAAAAAACCAAAATCTACCAAGTTAGAATTCTGTAACCTCAAAATCCCTTTTCTTTTTCTTTTTTTTTTTTTTTAAAATCCCTTTTCTTAAAAAGAGGAAACAAAGTCATTTTAGGTAAACAAAAATAACTACACTTATCACCAGCATAATTGCATAAAATAGAGTCATAAAATTTATTTCTCAGGCATGAGCAAAACAGTTGCAAAGTAAAGTTCAAATCCCAGAAAGGAATGAGTGATAATGAGGTAATGAATATATACAAACATGAAATAGATATTAAATATTTAAAACCATAGCTATAACATGTATAGGGCTTGAATTCTATAAGAAGTAAAACATAGTGACATTATTACAGGTCAGAAAATAGGTAAGCGAACTGAAATTGTTCTAAGATAGTTTTATCACCAGAAAGAGTTAATTCTACTAACATGTTAGACTTTGAGGAGTTATGTGGAGGTCTACATGACTAATATAAGTGAAAAATTGTATATAAAGTCGAAGTTATTGGAGATATTTGTTTTTAACAGGCAATAAATATAAGGTAATACATTAAATAGAAAAGATTAAGATCTTCAATAAGCCTAAGTAGATTATTTTTTAAAGTATTAAAATGAACAGAATTTTTTGGATTGTCAGATTTCATTAACAGAAATTCAATGCTCATAGTAAAGGAAGACAAATTTAAATTATGATAATATATAAAAGATAATAAGAAAGATGGATGTTTATAAAAGTGTTAATTCTACTGTGTAAATTCCACAACATTAGGAAATTAATAGTCACCATTATATGCCAATCATAATGCAGTTATATATTTAAAGACTTAACAAATAATTTAATTGTATTGGGGAAAATGTTAATAAACCACAAATTTTTCTAGCAGTAACAGTGCATTCAAATTTTTAGACTCAGTAAATTGTAAAATAAAATCATAAAAGAATTAAGGAAGGAGGAGAAAATCCAGAAAATACAATAAAAAAAACTGATTGGAAATATAGGGGGAAATTGGTGCTTTTAAACACTTAAAGAGGGAACAATTATAAAACACGTTGAATATATTTCTTATGACAAAATATTCTTATATAAAATTTCATAAAAATATTTTATTTTATTCCTATTAGACTGTACTCTTCCTATAGTTCCTATTTTTGCGTTAATATTTTCTTCACACAATCATAGATCTGTTTGGTTCTGACTCCATAGATAACAGGGTTGAGCATTGGTGGCACTATAACATAAAGATTGGCCAGAAGGATATGGATATACCGAGGAACATTCCGGCCAAAGCGATGTGTCATAAAAGAAAAGAGGGCTGGCGTATAGAAGGCAAGAATTACAAAAACATGTGAACCACATGTGCTGAGAGACTTGACCCTGGCTTCACGAGAGGGGAGACGGAAAACAGCACGAAGTATCTGGACATAAGAAATGGCAATGGCTATGATGTCAAACACTAGATTACTAATGGCACATAAGCCGTAAATAATATTGGCCTTAATACTGGCACAAGACAGGCGAGCAAGCCCCATGTGTTCACAGTAGGTGTGAGGGATAACATGATTCCCACAGAAGGGCAGTCTCAGTATGAGAAACACAAAAGGAATAACAGCCAAAAATGATCTCACTAAGACTCCAAGACAAATAACAGAAACAACTTTGTTGGTGAGGATGGTGCTATATCGGAGTGGATTGCAGATGGCTACGTAGCGGTCATAAGCCATGGCCAAGAGGATTGCTGATTCCATGCCAGTGAAGTTGTGGATAAAAAACATCTGGGTGATGCAGGCATCAAAGACTATCTCCTTAAGGTTGAACCAGAAGATACCAAGCATCTTAGGAATGGCAGCTGTGGAGAGACCCAAGTCAATGGAGGCCAACATGGCCAGAAAGTAGAACATGGGCTGGTGCAGGCTGCTCTCTGTCTGAATCACAAACAGGATGGTCAAGTTCCCTAAGAATGCAATCAGGTATACCACACAAAAGGGAAAGCCAATCCAGATGTGGAGAGTTTCCATTCCTGGGATTCCCAGTAGTAGGAAGGATGAAGGGTGGAATTCAGTGTCATTGGTAGGTAGCATTCTATTTGGTACTGCATAAGTCCACTTTTTAGAAAATTGTGCCTACCCAGTCGACAGGGTATCAGACATCATCCTGAAGTAATAAGACATAAAGATATCATAAAATTATCATAAATATTCCGTTCTGTAGATAATTCTATTGAAATATATTATATGTAGAGCACTAGCCCAAAGGGACTGCACAAGGATAAGATTTTAAAGGAAGTTAGGCAATAAGTTAGAATAAAATCCTCCATATGGTACTCTCAGATTTGCAAGCACCCTGATTAGAATTTTGTTGGAGTTTTTGTTAGTATAAGAATAGCTTTATTATGGTTATTATACAAAGATTTTTCCCCCCTGAATACTCACCTAATAACTTTTCTAATTATTAATATCTTTATTTTTTAAAATAAATAAGATTTTCACTTTTAACAACTTGACGTTTGTAATCCCTCTATGGTAGCCATTATATCCAGTTGAATGAATAAAAATATTAAATAAGTCTCAACACATTTGGCAGAAAATTGCTCAAAAAGCATATTAAAATAAATAAAATTAGTCTATTTAAAAATATTTGGTCATTGCAAAATGCTACTACCCATCCATGTGTCAGTTTGTTGTATTATGGTGACCTGTTTGCTGTTATGATGCTGAAAGCTATGCCATTAATATTTCAAATATAAGCAAAGTAACGTATTTGTAGACAAGTTTCTTCACAACTTTTAAAAAAAGATGACTAGAAAGAAGTCTTCTGAAAACGAGCCAATAAAAACTGAGTATCACAGCACAATGTCATCAAATTGCTTTAAGATGAGTATTTTAAGTTAGAAGATATACAGAATGGCTAAAACAATGAACTTTTTTTCACATCAATGATGAGCCAAGACCATGAAATGTTGTGCTGTACTGTACATAATGTCTATATAAATCAGAGCTGGCTCAGAGAAAACTAAGGACAAATTAAGACATTGAAAATTTTATTCCAGAAGTCAGATCTTTCTAAATTATACATATTTTTGAGAAATAAAAGTGCTCTGAGATCTTTATCAGAAACATAATAATGTAATTTATGTTTGAGATGTTTGTATCTGCCATTGTTTGGAACATAATTACTTAAATATTGACTATTATTTTCAAACAAAGAATTGCATTGTATTTTAATGACATTTGATTGAAATAATTCCAAATTCAGATGTAATTTTCAGAAATAATACAGAAACCATCTCTTTTTCACAGTAATACTAAAATTTAAACACTTCTAAAATGTATTTCCTAACCCTACCTCCAATAAGCATCAATTAAACTTAACTGTATATTTGCCAGTCTAACAAAAAAGCATTGTCATTCAGTAAAATGTAAAATTCAGACATCTGTAAACCATTTTTCCCCTTTTACGTAAATTTGAAAAATATTACTCTTATTTCCACTTCTAAGTTTATCAATAAAATCAGTACATTTGTCTCCATGATAATGGAACTAGAAACAATAATTTCTTTGATAACAGGGCAGTATTTTCTAATGCTTAGAAGCTGGAGATGCACAGATTGATTTTACTGAAATCGAGTTGCACTATTTGCTTCATAAACAAAGGAGAGTAGCAAGAATCACGTCAGCTGCAGGATCCTGCACAACTAAATTAAAATCTATTTGCTTCATTTTATATACATAAGCATGTCTAACCCTTTAAGTAGTTGTTCTTTTTAAAATAGATGATTTCTTTAAAGCATGTCACATTCTGTTCCGTAGAAACTGTTACACTTCATTCTCCAGATATCAGGCAGACTGACTTTTTTCTAAGATATGCATCAAATGGATTGAAGCAGAAATCCAAATGACTTTACTAGTGTTGGGCCTCTTCTAATTGTGATTTTATTCAGTCCCTAAACTTCACCCTTAGTATTCTTTCCCCAAAGTTTGCCCTTTTTCTCCTCTCCTCTTCATTCCCTTCTCTTCCTTTGTCCAACAACATGGTCTAGGAGTAACCCACTGAGATAAGAGATAGGGAAAACTCACCAAACTGAGCACCAGGACTAAGTCTTGTCTCTGTTTTGTCATCCACTCCTCAGTCTTTATGAGAGGATTGCTCCTTGCCTAGAGGAATATTCACAGGAAAATTCCCTGGGTCCAGTTTTTAAAACCCCACAGAGTCTCAGAGGATTCTCATTTCTAATCTATCCCTGAGTAAGAGACAAGGAGTCTTTAAGGAGTTATCAGCCAACAGCTGTTTTGTAGTGTTCTGTCCCTAATGTATGTTGGGGTATCCATAGCATCTAAAAAAGTGATACAAGTATGATTAACCACTCTCAACAACACTACAATTGATCCTCATTCATGATTTTTGTTTCGTATTAGGGCTGTTGCACATAGGGTCGCTATGAGTCACAAACGACTTGACGGCACATAACAGCAACAACAACATTCCCATAAGCAACAAGCTATGGCTAACTTTGAGAAGCATGGCAGGGTTATATCCTTTCTCCATACCTATTCAATCTGCACATTGAGCAAATAATTTGTGAAGCCAGACTCTAGGAACAAGAATGTAGTATCAGGATCAAAGATTAATCAACAACCCATGTTATGCAGACAGCACAATCTTGCTTGCTGAAAGTGAGGAGAACCTGAAGAGCTTACTGCTCAAGATCAAAGACTATGAGCAATCTGCTCCCATATTTATGCAGCCTCCCAAAAAGCCATACAAAGGGTCAGCTATGCGTTGATCTCCAAGCCAGGAGAGTGGGAGAGAACCGTGAGACAATTTTCTGTTCATTAAAGCCTGATTATTTCTGTTGTGGATCACTAAGACACTAAACTCTCCTCACTTTCTGGGGAGAAGATGCTATTTTCCACTACACTGTCCTTTTCTAAGACAATGTTGTGCGGGCCCAAAGCACCAGCTGGAAGCCTCATTTCTCAGCTTCCTTTGCACCAGCCAAGGCCAAGGGCCTGCGTGTTACACAAAATAGTTTAACTATCTCTGCAACAATGAATGAATAAAAGTCTAACTTCTCTGTAAACATGCGTTAAAATGACAATTAAAAGAAAATTTTATAAATAAAAAAAAAAAGATCAAAGACTATAGCCTTCAATACATTTTATACATCAATATCAAGAAAACAAAGGCCTTTACCATTGGGCCAATAGGCAGTCATGACAGATAGAAAAAGAATGAAATTGTCAATAATTTCATCCTACTTGGATCTACAATGAACACCCCTGGTACAAGTAGTCAGGAAATTAGAAGACATATTGCATTTGACAAGTCTGCTGTCAGAGACTTTTCCAAAACACTGAAGAACAATGATGTCAGTTTGAATATGAAGGTGCACTCAATTCAGGTGGTCTTCTCAATCACTTGCTAAGCATCTGAGAGCTGGATGATAAATAAGAATGACATACGAAGCATTGATGGCTTTAAGGTGTTATGTTGGAGAAGAGTACTCAGTATCCCACGGACTGCCAAAAGAATGAAAGGATAAGTCTTGGAGAAGGTGTAGCCAGAGTGCTTCTTGGAGTCAAAGCTTCATCTCTCATTCTTTGGACATGCGGCTAGGAGAAGCTATTCCTTAGAAAGGGATATCTACTTGGAAATGTTGATGGATAGTAAAAGAGAATAAAACCCCCATCAAGATGGATTGACACAGTGACCGCAGCATTGGGCTCAAATATATCAGAGATAGTAAGGATGGCACAGGATAGGAAAATATTCCTATTGTTCAAAGGGTCACTAGGAGTTGCACTTGATGTGATGGCACATAACATCAACAACGACAGCTCCTTTAAATATAGATGTTTTTCATTATAAATCCTGATTGGGAGGGATGGCATTCACCAAGAAAGGTAGGAAGGCTCAGAAGAAACTTGAGGCTTTTAGATACCGTTCTGATTAGGTTCTTGAGGTCCCTTGTCATGGAGTTGATTCTGACTCATGGTAACCCAGCTGTTAGAGTAGAAGCAATACATATGATTTTCTTGCCTGCAATCTTTATTGAAACATATTTCCAGGTCTTTCTTCCATGGAGCTATGAATGACTTGAACTAACAAATTTAGTTATTTGCTAAGTGGTTAGGAAGTGCACTGCCAAGCAAAAAGCATGTGGCTTAAATTCACCAGAGGCTCTATGGGAGAAAAATGGGCAATCTCCTCCTATGCAATTTACTACTTTTGAAAACACACTGGAAGGTTACCTATGAGTTGGTTTTGATCTGATGACATGTAACAATAATAACAAAAATTAATTCATTAAAAACCATTTGCTCTACCCAGGAAAAGATAGAGCTTACTTACAGGTGGTAGTCATTACCCTAATTATTATCAGATACTAAATCGGGAAAGGTGTCCGCTAGGGAAGTATTATGTCTCCAGGCCTTTTCAATCTGTATGCGGACTAGATCATCAGGGACACTCGGCTGTATGAGGAGGAATGTGGCATCAGGATTGGAGGGAGAATCATCAACAACCTATGTTATCAGATAACACAACCCTGCTTGCTGAAACGGAGGAGGACCTGAAGTTCTTGCTGCAGAAGGTCAAGGACTGCAGCTTTCAATATAGACTGAAGCTAAATATAAAAAACAAACAAACAAACAAACAAAGATTTTCACCGCTGGGCCAACTGGCAGAATCATTATGGATGATTGAAGAGATTGAGATTATTAACAGTTTTAATTTGCTTGTTTCCACAGTTAACACTCTTGGTACCAGCAGCCAGAAAATCAAGAGACAAATGGCATTGGGAAAGTCAGCTGTCAGAGAGAAGAGCAACAACATCAGGCTAGAGACTAAGGTGTGCCTGTCAAGGCCATAGTCTTCACAATTGTGTGCTATGCATATGAAAGCTGGACAATAACTACAGATGATAGAAAGAGAATGGATGCCTTTGAGCTGTGGTGCTGGAGAAGCATGTTGAATATACCATGGACTGTTAGGAGAACAAACTGGTTTGTCCTGGAGAGGGTGAAACCAGGCTTCTCTTTGGAGGCAAAGATTCTGAAACTTCATTTGGCATACTTTGGGC